TATGACGAACACTAAATACTATTTTAGGTATTTTTTTAAATACAACAATGAGAATACTGTAATTATGCTTATTCTGATACCATATAAGTTTAGTGACATACGTTTTTATTGCACTGCTTTGGAAAATATAACCAGATGTTAATTTTTTTATTTTCAGCTAAATGAAAACTTGACTACCGAAACTACACATTATTTGATTTCAACATTGCTACAGGTCTGTATTAGTTAAAATATTTTACCCTTTAACTCCTTGAACACATTAGTTACACAGAACATTAAATCTGGGACTAAATATGGTACAAACAGTTACAATGTGCCGTATACACATATTTAAATTTAAGTATTCATAGATAAAGGCCATAAAATAATATCGATGTATAAACATAATATAGTAATTACATTACGAACTTTGAAAGCCTACACTATTATATAGCATTTTTCCTAATTTTAATTATGTGTAGGACTAACATACTATGCTTAAATATCTGCTGTAATATACATAACTATTATAAACTTGACCCTCAAATTTTTTTTTTTCCAAAAATATCAAAAGAAGCCACATTTATTGGCACTCGTTACTACTATAATAAGTCACATAATGATTGATTGTAAGGAACAGTAATAAAAACATTTGGAGTTGTATAACAACATTATGAAAATGATCTTTTTATTATTATTATTATTATTATATCACATTAAAATGGTGAAAAACATAACAAACTCTAACGTAAAAATTAAGTAACTGTGTTTCACATTTTGTAAGTCGCTATGTCTATAACAAAATAATCATAGTTCAAAAATATTTGCATTTTAATACTATATTAATCTTACGCTAGGCAAAAATTAACCATGATTTTCTTGTATTAGTTCTTTCTAAATATTTAAAAAAAGCTACCTCAAGATTTAAAAACCATTGCTTAGATTAAATATGACAAATGTTTAAAAATTTATCGATTTTTCATTTGAAGTTTAAATATGCCATAAAGACAATTCGATAGTTAATTCGTCAAGTTATTAAGTTTTACTTAATATTAAGAAAATTTGACACTCAAGTAACATCGGAGGAAGATTTGAATGCATCATTGCTGAAACTAGTTCAGAAATCCGACAGTAATGCTACTGGTTGTTAAAGCAATTATTAAAAATACATTTCTGATTGAATTGTATACCAAATGGGTTGATGACACTATCATTAATAAATTACTACACCATATAACTCGGATATTGTTGCTTTTGATAGCATAACTTGGTTAATTTCCTAAAGTTCAATTAAAAATTTGCATTAAAATAACACAAATTGTTAGTGACTGCTTAAAAACTGTTACAACTTTGTGATATTCCATACTTTTTGTATATATAGAACAGATTCTGTTTTGATTAATCAAAAAGCATTTAATAGGGCAGATAAATAAAAAATATATTTTGTTGATACATGTCACTTTTACATCCTGACGAATCGAATATAAAAAAAAATTGTTGGCACATGTCAACTTTACATTCTGTCAAATCCTTTCTAATGTGTGAGTAGTAAAGAATGCCATAGTTAAAATCTACGTTCACTTAGATGAGATTTTACAACTACTAATAGAAGCAAACTCAAACTGTGTTATGTAGGTCTAGGTAATTTATAGGATGGATTTCGAAGAGAGTGCGCATGCATTACATGCCATAATTCCTTCGCTCCCTTCGCACCATCGGATTAACGGGTGATCGGCGGACCTTCACCTCTTTGATATCGATGTTTCACGCATTTGAACTATATTGTTTGTTTCGTCTTTTATAATGCGTAAGATATAGTGAGTGGAATAATTTGCCGGCGTCTGTCTTACAGTCCGATTACAATCTGAGCGTCTTCAAGGCAACAGTGAATTATTATTATTATTATTGAGAGTTTTGGCGGGACTTGGCCGTAGACGGATTGTCGCTCCTGTTTTGTCGCTTGAATAATGATTTGAATTGGATTTTGATTCGTAAAAGTGATGCGATTTTGTGAATTAAGTGTCCGCGCGTATGAACTGTTAGAGAAAACGCCGTAACAAGTGCTTTGGTGTCGGTATAAACCTCAAATTATTTTGATCGCTTGGGCGCCTTATGGACTTGAGTGGCTGTCGTCATCAACTGTCCGCTGAGTTGAGCTGTCGTTAAAATCTCCCAAGGGCTTCTCAATGTGAAATCAGCATATTTAGAAATAAAAAAATATAAAAATGAAGATTCCGAAAGAAATGATAGGCTCAGAAGGGCTAGAACCCAGAGCCGTAAAGTCAGTTAATAAAAAAAAGGTTTTTATTACGCTGAGACAGTATCATCTACCATTTAAGGTTTCACCATAACTTACCATCATGTGGAAATGAAGTCAAGTAGTGGTAATGTGGTAAGAAAGTAGTAAGTATAAAAGTATAGTAATTTATTAGTGATGGTATCAATTGTAACTACTATTTATTGCATCTGTGGGGGCTTATCATACAATATATGAAATCACGATAGTTCGAATAAAGGATTTCAAAATAGTTACTTTTAATCTACAGTAAAAGTAAGATGATAAAATTTTGTAAAGAAACTAAATATTTAAGTTAATTTTTTACATGGTAAAGCCAAGCTGCAACTATATTATAGTTGTAGTACCAATGGGTCAGCTCGACCGGGGTAGGACCACGTTCTCAAAAAATATCAGCGTAAAATAGCAGCTCACGAAACGACGCATTCCATCTTAGTCCTCACGGGTGACAACACATCTGCATTTTGATTCTTAATCGAGGATAGATGTAGATGTCTATGGGCCACAGCATCCACTTACCAGCAGGTGGACTGTGTGCTCGTTTGTCATCCTATTCTATAAATATTCTATTGTATAAAACCACTTTCATGACTCAACCTTTACTAGCTAGCAACTTCGCTTTTATATTTCGTAGGTATAGTTTCTGACCCTATCGAGATTATCAAGTGAAATTTGATTTCTCTGCATAATATGTAAAACTTTCTAAAACAAAGTAATGATCTCTGTGGTTAAACTACTTAATGTATTTTATTGGTTTTTTATACAATAAAAAAACTATACATTTAGTCGTATTAGTTATTGTATCTAACCTAGCGCCATCCTGTATACGTATATTAAGGGTATGTTCCGAAATGTTTCCAGTATACTGACGAATTTCAATGACGTCATTAATTGACGGCATATTCCATCATATTCGATATAACGAATCACCAGAATGGCGTCGATTTATAACGTCATTTGCATTGGCCAGTGTACTGGGTTGTATTTCGGAACATACCCTAAAACTACAAATTAAATTTTTCAGTATACTGTATGCTCGGACCAACAAGGACGGACGCTGCGTACGTCTCAAGCAATGCACTCATCTTTTCTTTCAAAGTCCACAGCTGTACATATACACATACAGGGTATGGTCCGAAACGTTTTCAGTATACTGCCGAATACAAATGACGTCATCAATTGACACTATATTGTACTGGCGTGCCGCCGCCATATTGTGTCGGATATCCGGCCATAATAAAACAATTTTTTATTGTGTGTACGCTGAATGAAGCATGCCAGAATTTGTTTTTATTTATTCAAATACAAAAAATTATAGAATAATTGCTGGTATCTCCATTAGGAGGATATAATGATTTTTGGAGCACAAAATGATAAAATAATCGCCAACACTTTTCCAATATGGCGCAAATGTATGACGTCATATACTGTCCTATGTTTTGGAACGAATCACCAGTATAGCGTCGATTCATGACGTCATTTGCATTGGACAGTATACTGGGTTCTATTTTGGAACATACCCACAGCTAAAACCATATTATTCGTCGTAAATATTTTTAAATGCGTACATCTAGTGACAGTGTAAGAATGTACATTACTTTGTATCCTACCGTGGGATTCGTAAGAGGCGAGAATGAAACAAAAACAAATGCGGTTGCAAAGTGTGGCACTAATGGCAAATATATTGTCGTTTAAGGCAATTTATCGGGAAGACTTGAGAAATGTGTTTAGCAAAGAACTTTTAATAGGTAACGTTAACCGCGTACGTGTAAGTACGTTCTTATAACAAGTCTGAATTTCTGCCACGCACGTCCACACTGTGGAATTTATTGTGGCTAGCAGTTCTTCCGGACCGATACGAGAAACGTTCAATTCAAAAAAGAGCAACGCTCTCGCCGCTAGTGTAATTAGATGATTATTTACTATTAGGCGAGTCGTATGGTTTTTTGCCCTTTTACTTCCACAAAAAAAGTCGAGCATAGCACCCCGTGTTTCTTTGTTGCTCTGATACTGTATGCGTCAAAATATCGATAGTATTTATATTACGTGGTGGAACCACGCTACAGCTATATTGTGGTTGAAGTATTAATCTGTTAGCTCAGCTGGGGTAAAAACACATCTCTCACATAATAACCGTAAAATATCAGCGTAATGGTGCTGTGTTACGTTTGGTGAGTGTAGAAAATCGAAGGCCTTCTTAATTGAGAATAAATTTAGATGTTTATAAGCTACATCGTCCACTTACCATCAGGTAGACTGTGTTATTTTATAAAAAGTCTCTTTGGTTAAAGTACTACATATATTTTAAAGGTTTTCATGTACAATAAAAATTTGTATACATTTAGTTGTATTAATTATTGTAAGTAACTTAGCGCCAACCTGTATGTATATTAAAACTTTAAGTTCAATTATTTAGTATACTGTATGCTCGATGCTTATCTTGTTGAATGTTTATAACTTATAAGTATGTATATAATGTTAATATATTCAAAATTATTTTATCCCTAATTTTGTGATAACCCTCGTATATTTGCGGAGGGTAGGTGCGAGGGTAAATACCTACACGGGTGACATCAATGGCGTTTTTAAACTATAACAGTTACACTGGCTGGTTTCCAGGTACAATAATAGGACATTAGCAATGAGCTATATGGGTGACGGGATAGTGAACGTGTTGAGTTGTGTCTGAGGCTATGTGTATAGAGAGGGTAGAGTTGTAGTGCGGTCAGCGCAGCGCGGCGCACCTGGAGCAGTAGTCGTCGTTGTCGGGGCTGCCGTAGTACAGGCAGAGCGGCGCGCGGCACGGGCGCGGCGAGGCCGGCCGGTCGTCGTAGAACGTGGACCGGCTGAGGTGCAGCGTGCGGTCCGGCGCGGGCCGGCCCGACTTAACCGTGTGCCCGCGCACGTTCTGGTGCGCCGCGCGGTCTGCCTCCGCGTAGAACTGCGACCGGCCCGTGCCGTACCGCGGCTGCGATACTTGCGCGCGCTCTTTGCGGTTCTTTTCCGCTGTGTAGCTGTAATGTGTTTATTTATTTATTTATTGTTTTTTGTACATCACAAAACAGAAACATCAAGTACAGTTAAAACTAACTTAGAATATGTACAATAGGCGGTCTTATCACTCTGAAAGTGATTTCTTCCAGACAACCTGTGCGTAAAGAAATGATGCAAACAAAAGTTAAAATAGAGGGGGGCATACAAAATAATAATAAAAATATAATAATACATACAAATAAAGCAAAAGCAGAAGAAGCACGAGAGTAGAATGAACGCAGAAGAAATGCGGTCGTTAAGGAGTATGTTAGGGCTGAATCTGAATGACAGGGTAAGAAATTGTGTGATAAGAGAAGAGTGTGGTTTGCAAGATGATGTTGTGACCAGGATTAAGAAAGGAATGCTTCGGTGGCTTGGTCATGTGGAAAGAATGAATGAGGAAAGAGTGACAAAGAAAATTTATGTTGCAGAAGTGAATGGCAGAGTCGGAAAGGGACGTCCTAGGCGAAAATTTATCGACCAAATTGGCGATTTATTGAAAACGGGCCAAATTGGGAGTACCCTTAACCGACGAGCATGTATGCGTAGGTGTATGGATGTGAAGGAGGCGAGAGAGGTGTGTCAGGATCGTGCCAAATGGAAGTCTGTAGTCTCTGCCTACCCCTCTGGGTGACAGGCGTGAGTCTTTATGTATGTATATGTATGTATACAAATAAAGATAAGTGAAAATTATATATAAAATATCATATAATATATTAAATGAAAAGAGTACGAGAAAGGTAAAGTAATTTATCTAATAGCGTTCTAAATAATACGATTTAACAAAGCGAACTTCACATGTCTTCGAAATATTTTTTTCTTATTCCTCAGACATGCAGGTTTCCTCACGATGTTTTCCTTCACCGCCGAGCACGTGGTAAATCGGCACTTAAAATTGCAATTAACAATTTCATTGGTGCCGGCGGGGATCGAACCCGGGTTACTCGCGTTCTGTTATATTTACAGCGAGCGTTAACCATCTAAGCTACCACGGCTCTAACAACGCTTATTTTATATTAAACGCAACAGCTCTGGATCCCATATGCACAGTGTTCCAGTGCCGCACAACCAGACAATCAAGCCTTCCTAATACAGTACATAGGAGTCTGTTGGCACTGTCTCGCACGCGTCGCATCAGGGAGGCCACTCTCTTCCGCACTATTGTATCAAAGCTGTCCGTGTTAGCCTCAACAAACATACCTGATGCGCTGCAATATCGAGACAGCCCCATCAGCATCCTAAAGCTATTATTGTACTAAACTGGTAGAGCATTTACAGATCAGCGAGTATACTTGACCCACAGACTGCAAGTGTAAAACGTTTAGCAGTACACCTTAAAAAGGGTTATCTTGACAGCTTTTGTACACCTTGCAAACCTGCGAGCCAGCATGTTGCACCATGACGTCAGAGAGATCCCCTGTAACCCAGTGCCCCAGGTATTTAAATTTGGTGACTCTACTTAAATGTACTCCTCCAAGCCTGACCAGTGAGATAGCTTTGGGTTCTTTGTTCCCTGCCTTGAAAGCAAGCAGGTCACTCTTTTTGGATACCTGAGGCCACGGGCTTCTGCATATCTCTCACATAAATTTATTAATATCTCGAGTGCCCTCATCGAAGGGTTCAGCAGCACCATGACGTCCACGTAACTGATGCTGTTTACAAAGTTACCATCTATTGAGCATCCGACGCCAGTTCTGCTAAGCTCATCAATCAATCTATTTATATATAGGTTATAGAGCCTCGATGAAGTTAAGCCTCCCTGTCTCACTTCACACTCCAACTCATATTCACTTGAATATGAGCATGCCCACCTTACATTATTTGATTGGTTGTGGTACCAGTACCTTAATGTATCGACTATCTCCCTAGGCGTGCTCGTTTCCTTCTGAAGCTTATTCCATAATAGGTTGTACAGGACCAGGTCAAATGCCTTCGACAAGTCTAAAAAACAGGCGTAGACAGGCGTTTTTCTCGTAACATAATACTGGACGGTATGCTATTTAAGATACTATCGTCATCGACTTCACAATGTGACACAAAATATTGCGAAAAAGTTTTGAAACAAATTATAAAGGACAAATTGTCATGAATAGTTATGAATGTGGGTCCTTGCACAACATTGTTAAAAAATAATGTTAGTTAAGTCAACCAGTTTGTCATTAGTGTTGCTACCTAACACAATACACGTATTTACCTAAATTACGGTGTTTTATTGGATCTAACAGTCCTCTTAATATTTTATTCCTCAAACACGCAGGTTTCCTCACGATATTAACCTTTACAACCAAATATGTGGCAAACAATCAACAATTTCATCGGCGTCAGCAGCAAGCGAGCACGAAAGAACTTACATTATATATTTCTTTTCAATACGAATTATTACAGTGACTGAGGAAAAGATTAGAAAGGGAAATCAATATTAAATAAAACTTAGTTAAATATCCTTACCCTATCCATGCTTCATTCAGATAATTTTTGACCATTTCTTCTTGGACCGGTGCCCTTGCAGCTAACACCCTACAACACAGCACTTCACAAGTCGACTGCCTCCTTGGTAAACTTTCTTCTGGATTACTGTGACTACCACTGCTTTTTCCGGTTAACTTGGCCATCGACCCGAAGTTCTTTTTTAGCTTACTGCTCATAGACCTCCCGATGCTTCCGAACTGTTTGGCTACCGAGTTTAACTGTTTAGAACTTTTTGTTGATAGGGCGTCTAGAGATCTTCTTAATTCTTCTGGAGGCTGGGTCTGAGAGAGGCATTCCACTCTTTCTAAGTCCAAATAAGCAGACAGCATGGCCGTGCGTTGGTACTCGTCCGGGAGTAGACTATTGATCGTCTTTTGGTCAGGCTCGATATCCCAGCGAAAATCTTCACCTGGGTCAACACTGAATCTGAAAGAGTGAATATGAAAATGACTAAAACTCCACCCATCTCCAAAAGCCCATTGCTGATCAAAGACTTCCCCTTATAGATTGCCTTACAGGGAGGACATTTGTCATAGTTGCCACGCTTGGTAAGCGGTTATGAGGAAGACGCTGCTTCCCATCTTTTATTTCATTTTCCTCCGTCGCCTCTTATGACACCCATGGGTTCATATAGAGGATAGATGAATCTCTTACACCGCTACTATACAGCTTTGATGAATTATGGTAAGTGGACGCTGTGACTTATTAGACACCTACATCCTACCTCGTTAAGGATCAAATGCAGATGGAATGTCACCCTTGAGAAACAAAATGAATCGCCGTCACTCACCATACACAGCAGTGTATGGTGAGTGACATGGACATAGAAAAAAGGGCGGACAGAGTCGCTAAGAAACAATTGACGCACCGCAATGACGGCCGTTTAACTATGTATGAGTAACTAAGCGAGCGCGGATTGGAGCGTATGGCGGGTGTTTGACTTACTATGGTGTGCATGTGTGCGTGCCGGCTTGTTTGTATTAGCGAACTGTCTTACTATGGGAGCGTCAGTAATTGTTTTAAGAGACGGCGTCCGCCCTTTTTTCTAGGTCCATGTGTTATAAATTATTTATACGTATTATTTCAGGTAGGTTCGTAGGTATTCTGCGAGAGCATGATCTTCCGTCGAGATACTACTAGGTAAAATATATATTAACGTACATAATATAATTTCTCGAATCTCTTTCAGACTTTAACCATCCTATCCATCTATCCATTATAGCCTATAAAAGTTCACTACTGAACATAAGCCTCCTTCATAGGGAGAATTTTATTATAGTTGGAGAGTGTTGGAAATAGTTGGAAAGCGCAGTGTTTTTATATAATTTTGTATTGATATTGGCAAAATGCTGCTACCCATCTATCGATTTAGTTCCTTCTGTCGACTCTTGCAACACACACGGGACTATGTGGCCTAGTGGATATTCTTACTCCACTACTACATGGTTAATCTTCACTTTCAATCTGCATATTATTAAAATCTTACAATAATATTACATATTAAAATATTTACCGAATCGGCATGGGGTTGCCAGCTTGGTCCTCCAAAGGCACTCTAGCGCCGTCAGTGGGCAGTGGTTCGCAAGGCACTAGGGCCGAGAAATGGCCCGCGTCGTACGCTAACAATATCGGCGTCTTACTACACACTTCCGGATCCAACTCCAGAGGAAGGTAAATACCGCCGAACGGTATTGGGGCTACTGGGTCACCCCGAAAATCCTGGGAAGTTAAAAGAATAATTATTACATTATGTTTTTTAAAAAGCACGTACCTAAAATGATTTACATACGCGCGACATACACGATCACAAATGGCATTCCATTAGGTTAGTGTCACGTTCACACAGAGCACAATCACCAGATGACCTGAAATACCGTTTCTGGCATCAGTCACTCACATTACTTTGAGTCTATTTTTGTTAAATATCGAGATTGTTAATTAAATGCAGTGAGATATATACGATTGTTATTATTATTGTTTTCACTAATTTTCACTCACTTTCCGGTTCGTGTCGTGTCATTCCGGGTGGAATATTGCAACTCAAATTTTGAGCACTTTCTGATGAGATAGACTTGAAATTTTGAAAATAGCTCAGAATCGGATGACAATGTAAGAATATAAAAAAAACGTGGTAAGTATATTTTTTTGTATACAATTTAAAAAATCACTTGTTAGGAACAGATTTTAGTTTAAGTCTAAGAATACAATAATAAACAACTTTTTGTAATGGATAAGCAGCTCGGTATGTTTGTGTATCTGTATGTAATAGTGTGTTGCGTGCTAGCGCGTGTGTGTGTGTGCGCACTCACCCGCAGCGCGTCGTCCGTGTAGACGAGCAGCGGGCGGCGTAAGACGTGCGCGAGTTCTTGCAGCGCATCGAGCTCGGCGTAGTGCGGCGCGGACCGGATGTGTATGTGTGCGCACTCACCCGCAGCGCGACGTCCGCGTAGACCAGCAGCGGACGGCGCATGACATGCGCAAGCGCGAGCACGTGCAGCGCGTCGAGCGCGGCGTAGTGAGGCGCGGCGCCGGGCTGCGGACGCGCGCGCGGCTCGGCGGAGGCGGCGCGCACGGCGTCCTCCCACTCGCGCGCCCACTCCGCCTCACTCGGCGCCAGCCCCGCGGACCGCAGCGCGCCCGCCTCGCACCACCTCCACCGACGACGCAGCGCCTCTATCACACAACAACATCAAACATCATTCATCATCATCATTACATCCCTTTCCAAGTCTACTGCTGAACATAGGCCTCCCCCAAGGAATGCCACAAAGAACGGCCCTGAACCACCTGCATTTTTAATAGACGAGGGGGCAAACGAGCATGCAGCACACCTGATGGTAAGTTACGACCGCCGCGACCATAAACAACCGCAACACCAGGGGAATTGCAGATGCGTTGCCGGCCTTTTAGATAGGAGTAAGCTCTTTTCTTGAAGGTCCCTAAGTTGTATCGGTCCGGAAAAATCGCCGGTGATAAACAATTCACATCCATTAAGTAGTCGTACGAGGAAGAAAACTCCTAGTAAAACGCACAGTGGTGGACCGCCAAGCATCCAGGTGGTACCGTGAATTTTGACGTGATGAACGTTCGTAAATTTGGCGGCTGGAATTAATCCGAACAATTCCTCAGAGCACTTCTCGTGGTAGATGCGAAAGAAAATCCAAAGGATTGCAACATCTCTTCGCAGCGGCAGTAAATCGAGCCGATCGGAAAGCACTGTCGTCAAGAATCAAGCCGCTCTGCGCTGGATTCAAGTGCAAGGAGCTGGCACTGGGGTGCCCCGGCCTAGAGGTGAGAACAGTATTCCATGTCAGACCGTACTTGCGCTTTGTAAAGTTGCAAGCGATGTGACGGCATAAAATACTGTTTCGCTATGCTGAGCACGCAAGAATTTTAGGGGCCAATTTGGCTTTACCTACCAAGTGACAGCGAAACTGCACACCATTCGATATGTCAACGCCGAGGAAACAGATGCTAGCTGAGGCAGCAAGAGGATTGCCTTGAAACTGAGGAGACACGATATAGGGGTTCTTTTTAGCGGTATACACGTAAACATGTGTCTTCTGGGGATTGAACTGGACTAGTATTAGTCGCCCCCAATCCGAGACTTTGTTCAGCAAAGACTCGAATTCAGACATAAGTTTGTCCCGGTACTCGGCGACGTTTGCCGGTGGCCGGTGTCGGAGTATGTCGTTTGCGTAACAATGAATGGTGCAGAAGGAACAGCGTTGGTGAGAGTAGTGAGGTTGTGGAACACAAGAGTTAAAAGGCTTGTAATCAGAGCATGCACCGTCTACTATGACCTTGATACTCCGATCAGCAAGGAAACTGGTGATCCAATTGCAGAATTTCTCGGGAAGCCCAGAAGAAGGGTGCTTCGTAAGAAGCGCTTTGTGCCAAACCCAACCGAAAGCCTTCGCTAAGTCCAAACTTAAGGCCAATACCCTTCCCTTGGACTCTAATGCCTCCGCCCATCTATGAGTCAGGAAGACCAGAAGATCACCAGCTGATCGACCACGACAGAAACCGTATTGGCGGTCACTAATGAGCAGGTGATTCTCTAGGTACCTCATGAGTTAGCAGTTAATGATGGACTCCATTGTTTTGAAGAACAAGGAGGTGGTGGCGATAGGCCTGTAGTTGGACGGGTCTGAGCGGTCGCCTTTTTAGGGAACGGGTGGATATCAAAGCTGTCGTCCAATCAGTTCGGGGCTATGCCTCGGGAGTAGGAGTACTGGAAAAGACGCTTTAAAACCGGTGCTAACTCCGGAGCACACGTCTTCAGCACAAAGGGGGGGATTCCATCAGGAGTACTTTGCGAACCGAGCGCTGTGTAAACCGCACATCCAGCATGGAGCACTCAAAATGCGGGATGGTCGGCGGTGTGTTCCCCCCGTCATCGAGAGTCGAGTTGAACGCAAAGAGAGAGCCTAACAAATTGGCTTTCTTCTTTGCGGCTTCGGCGAGCGAGACGTCCTCTCTGTGCAGAGATGGAAGAGATGGCTGACAGAAGTTCCCTTGGACAGCCTTGGTGAGGGACCAGAATAAACGGGTTCCCGAAGAAAGGTGAACTAGCTTCGGGCCAATTCTGTTGATGTGCTCAGACCTTGCCTTGCCTTGACTCTTTTGAAGACCCTGTAGGCGCAATTATACTTCTTTTTAAGAGCGCTGGTGTTTTTCAAATGTCTTTTTTTTTTTCAATATACGACCGTTTGGATGTGAGGTTCGCGAAACAATGAAAGAAAATCCGCAAGTATACTCTTCAATGTCATTTTTTTAAAGTTAATATTACAATGACATTAAAACTCAATAAAAACGAAAATAGACCAATCAGTAACTGAAACATGTTCTATGATCTTTTATGTACTGAGAGGACGTTTAAAATTTGGATTTTATCAGTGCATGGCGTACCCGAGCAAATAAAACCCCACAAGCAATACCTCATAACAAGTATATAGACCATTATCTTAATGTTTTGTTATTCCCATTTATATTTATAGTATTAGTAGAAAGTCAAATTGGTTAATCCCGTTATCTTTTAGCACGGTAATATTATCTATACAGTATTCCAACTTCATACAAACGGACGAAGCGAGAGCTATACCCGCCTCGATCTCGGCATGCGCTCGGCATGCAGACAGTCGAGACTGTGCCGCAGTGATGATTTTGTGAAATATATAAAAAAATGAAGGAAATAAATAATAGAATAGAAATAAAGAAATAATAAATCTGAACTTCATTTAAAAACAAACATATAAATTGTAAAATAGCTGCAGGTATCTATAACCAATTAATAGATATTCCTTTTCTCCACGTTGTCCATGTTTCCCAAAACAATTTTTAATTTATATTATTTTTAGCTTTATATTAGAAAGCGGATTTTTTATATTTAAAAATCTAATAATAAAGCATTCCGTAAGTCTCAGCCGAGGCGCAAATATTTTTCGGTCGCAAATTTATTTAACCGATTTGTTATTCAAACATAAACATGGTTTTTTTAGGGTTCCGTAGTCAACTAGGAACCCTTATAGTTTCGCCATGTCTGTCTGTCCGTCTGTCCGTCCTCGCTTAATCTCTGTGACCGTTAGCACTAGAAAGCTGAAATTTGGTACCAATATGTGTATCAATCACGCCGACAAAGTGGTAAAATAAAAATTGGAAAAAATGTTTTATTAGGGTAGCCCCCCCTATATGTAAAGTGGGAAGTGTTTTGTTTAATTTCAACCCTAGCGTGTGACATATTGTTGGAAAGGTATTTAAAAATGAATAGGGGTTTACTAAAATCATTTTTTGATAATGTCAATAATTTCGGAAATAATCACTCCAAAAGTAAAAACAATGTGCCCCCCCCCCCCCCCCTCTAACTTTTGAACCATAAGTTTAGAAAATATGAAAAAAATCCGAAAAGTAGAACTTTATAAGGACTTTCTAGGAAAATCATTTTGAACTTGGATGGAAACAGCAGTACCCACTACCGGGAGCAGTTGCAGGAGCGCGGAGCGCTGCTGGAGCGCGAACATAATGGATACCTTTAAACTCATAAGTGGGAACACTTATTGTGACGGACGGGAAACTACGGAACCCTACACTGAGCGTGGCCCGACACGCTCTTGGCCGGTTTTATTTTAATTAAATCTACCAATCAAAAAACGACACGCATTTTTATCGACATAACACTTCCTATTCAATTCACAAAGTACCTATTTTATTTGTTTATATAAAAAGTATATTTACAATCATAAAACTAAATGGAAACACAAAGTAGGCAAATGTAAAGATGCTGGAGGCAGGCAGCCCTAACGCATGTTTACGTGCCGCACTGCTGTAGGCATTTATTTGAAAGATACGGCCGAGTTACAATACTGTATAGATAATATTACCGTGCTTTTAGCTTCTAATAAAAGTAATTCATCTATGAATAGTGCACAGATGAACATAGGTCTCCCCCATAGATTGCCTTATAGTATGGATATTTGCCATAGTTGACACGATTGGCAAGTGTATTTGGTAACTTTATTTTTTATTTTACAGTTATTATTTAAAGACGCTGCTCCTGCTGCCCATTTCCTGATTCGTTTTCATCTGTTGCTTCTTACCACACTCACTGGACGATATAATATATCATATTATGATATTGGGTGCGTTTGGCAGAAAAAAGCGCTAGCAAGCGCTTGTAAGCAAAATGGCGATCGTAAGCGGTAAGCGCTGTCAAATCGTAAGTAGCTATTTTCCTCTAGGACACGAAATTAGTTTTAACCGGGGAACCTAACCTAATTTAAATATATGTTTCTAAAGTATTCATATTAAAAACTTACCAATCATGAATTTTTAATAACGTGTATATGTCTATTCATGTCATTATATAACTTAAAACTAATATTGCACAAAATAATTATAAACTCTACTTCAAAACAAACAAATTAAATAAGCAAAATGGCGGATTGTGTCAGCGCTACCGAAGTAGCAATCGTGTCCTAGCCGAAAACTATTTCAACGCTTGTAAGCGCTTGCTAGCGCTTTTTTCCGCCAAACACACCCATTATGTTGATATTATTCTTACTCTACAACTACACGGTAGACCTATGCGTAACCTTGAATAAGAATCAAACGCATATTCGTTGTCGTCTCTGATGTTGAAGATGAAATTCCCCGCCATCAGTAAAAAGGGTATCCGATTTGCATCTTTCAACATATAGAAACATATTGTTGCTATTTTCCGCCCAAGGAAGGGCCGTTGTATCTTGTGCAAGCAGAGATTCGGACCCCGGTTGAGTCGACCTGTACGTACTGTATTATAAAGCGTGACTCTACGTAGAACTTTATACATTAAGTAACATAATACCTATTTTAAGACAGTAATTGAAGTATATTCGATAACTAGTGATTATAAAGTTTTATATTCAATAACTAGTTTTATTAATAACTGCCATGAGTAATATCCAATAACGGGTTTTGCATAATTGAGTAAAATATAATTCAAACCAATAAGCGACATAATAGGAAGTTATTTTTGTACCGATTACATGTATAAAAAAATCGACTTCCTCAACAATATTATTATAACCTCATAAGGCCCACGTTTTCAACATAAAAAAGTTAATAATACAAATAATAAACGATACGGTCACTCGTTTGTCTGTTTGGGTTTAGAGCATTGATATAGTAAAAAAGTTTTTTCGTATATTAATGGTATGCTGTTCAATGATTGCTGCATTGGTAAAAAATAAAAAAAAATTACTACTGCCTCATAAAATCAATCAATCTATCGTTACCTGCGGAATTTCCTACAGTTTTACAACAGTTTTTCGTGTTGTATCTGTTAATAATAATAAAAGAAGGGATATTAAAAATCGTATTCTGCCCAACACGCACATCATATTCTTCTTATCTGACTAACGAAGATAACCATAAAAAATATTTTTATCTGCCTCTAATGTAATTTTAGTGTTTTGACTACAAATTCAGCATAACGGAACTGCCTCGATAGATCAAGGATTTTTCTCCGAGAATGTTTCAAGTGGACGGCTGAATTTGGTATAATTATAAAATTGTGGTTAATCAAAGACAGACATGAGTTAATCGGTTGGTTTTGGCGGGTAAAAGGAAACTTGAATCAAATGTTAATTATAAATTTAATCGAAATATTTCTGTTATGTGTTCCGGATTGAAGGGTAGAGTGCGAGTATTCTTACAGCCTGTAAGGCATTTGTCCTTGGGGGTGACAACGCATAATATGTAGCTTTATTTATCTGAAGTTGGCTACACGAGACTATGGATCGTAGTTGCCACTTACGATCCATAGTCTCGTGTAGCCAACTTCAGGTTTTTTTACAGAATAAGGGTGACAAACGTACACTCAGTCCACCTGATGGTAAGTGGATCCTGTGGGACATGGACATCTACATTTAACCTCGATTACGAATCAAAATGTGCGTTGCCATCCCTGAGCCCTAAGATGGAATACCTCGTATTGAGTGAAAAGGATCTCCGGTTCTCTAAGCTCACCATACGAAACACAGCAGCGTTTATCTCCTATTTTACGCTATTCTGTGAGAGTGTGGTACCCTTGGGTCGAGCAGACTCATTCGCGCTACAACAACCATAAACATGGTTCTGCCTGGTAAATTGTAAGTGTACTGTATGCGCTTGTAAGTGTGCATGTGGACTTGTGAGTTCGTTTGTCACCTGTAAGCGCCTCCCCCCCTTCGCCACAAAGCAAGGCTTCCACTTTTGTTCTGAGCGCCAGCAGTCTGTCGTGGAAGCCGTACGCAGCGAGCGAGGCGGCGTGCGGCAGGCAGTTGCCGTCGCCGGACGTCGCCAGCGGCAGCAGTCGCGGCGCCCCGGGCACCCGCCCGTGCCGCCACCAGTTCAACACACCCGCCGATTCGAGAGTCACCAGAGTTGCCGTCTCCAACAAATCTTTTTCGATGAATATCCTAAAAAGGTAATGGATAGCGGTGGTGTAAGAATATTCACTATTTCATATCATTCCGTAGGTGTCATTAGTAGCGACAGAGAGAAACAAATCACGTTTTTTTTTTTATAGAAGAGGGGGCAAACGAGCATGCGGCTCACCTGATATTAAGTGACTACCGCCGCCCATGATCAACCGCAACACCAGGGGAAACGCAGGTGCTTTTCCGGCCCTTTAGAAGGGATTAAGCTCTTTTCTTGAAGGTCCCCAGGTCGAACAGGTCCGGAAAAATCGCCACTGGTAAACTATTCCACAGAGAGGTCGTACGCGGTAGAAAACTCCTTTTGAAACGTACAGTGGTGGACCGCCAAGCATCCAGATGGTGTGGATGGTATCGGAACGTTTGACGTGTAGTGCGTTCACGAAATTTGGCGTTCACGTGATGGGCAGTAGCGTCTTCCTAATGATAACTAAAAATAATAAAAAAACTGTGCTTGCCAAGCGTGGCAACTATGGCAAATATCCCCCCCTATGCATCTATGGGAAAAGCTGTATCTAGGGTTCAACAGTGGAGTTAAATAGGTTGTAACGGTCACGGTATCGAGTAATGATAGGGTTTGAGATGAGCTTCCTGGGAGTTTATCCAACCAAGTGCGTATTATTGGACCGCGTTTTTATTGACTCGTTTTTGTGTATATCTGTTCGGGACGATTTAGTAATTAATTTTAAACCACTTTTCCGAGAAGCTAGAAACTTTAAATTTTGAACATAGCTCAAAATCGGATAGCAATGTAAAAAAACGACGGGTTGCACTCCGGGAATGCCGGCAGAAGTGACAACTTGAATATCAACGTTGTGCATTTTTGATATTTTGAAATGGTTAGGGAATAATTTTGCACGAATTGCTTTAATTATCAGTATTAGTAGTACTATAACTTATGTGGTAGAATACAATATATATTATTGCCACTAACCATACAATTTATATTACATTCGATCTAACTTTGGCCGCGCCGTTGAAAGAGAGGGGGATACTTCCTCTCCTACGCCGTCCGTCTTACGCATTTTCGATCAGGGTCACGTGTCCTGACGCGAGTTTAACATTTTTTACCCATTACAAAAAAAGTGTACAACGCCGCTAAAGAAGTTTTCACTTCAAAAATGTAAAAAAAACGTGGTAAGTAGGTACATTAAAAGGTTTTTTAATACTTATTTTTCTTTAGTTTCACTTTGTTTTCGGCGATGTTATTATAATCAGTTGTCATTTGTGCATAACATATTACTATTAGCATCATAAATAATACCTTAAATGTAGGACGAAGGCAACGATTGCCTTCTTCCCGTTTAGTATTTGTTGTAATGCGAATCCAAATGCAGTGTCGTCAAATTTAATAAGTCGTATATGACGATGGTCTCACGATTCGAAATAAGCTACGCTAAGCTGGAGCTATTTTTTGAGCTAGGTCAATAACTTTAATTTTTTAACCTTTTGTACTTTTTATTGGTTTCATATTACCTATGCGTGTTAAAATTTGGTTATGACCTATGCATTATTCGATTATTATGTGTTTTTTTTATAGAATAAGGTTGACATACTAGCACACACAAACAACACAGTCCACCTTCTATCCTCAATTACGAATCACAATGCAGATGCGTTATCACCCTTGAGGACTAAGATGGAATGCCTCGTTTCCAGGGAAAAAGGCTTTCCAGTTCTCTACACTCACCATACGGAACACAGCAGTATTAAGCTGTTATACTAAAAGGAAATGCCGTGTAGTGGCGGTTAAGAATATCCACTATCCCATATCTTCCCGTGGGTGTCGTAAAAGGTGACAGAGGGAGACAGGCAGGAGATGGGCAGCAGCATCTTCCTGATAACAACAACTGTACGACAAAAAATACTGCGGTTGCCAACCACCTCGCCAAGCGTGGCAACTATGGCAATATACCCAAATGAACAATTACACAAATAGACGGCCCCCAGTCCCCGGCGGCCCCGCTATTACTGGCTACGGTGGCGACCATGGTAATGGCGGGGCAGGGGGTGCTAAGAATCTCCGGTGGAGGTTCGGTTGCCACCTACGACGACTCGACCTGGCGACATTTAACGCACGCACCCTGGGGACTGACGAGAAGATCCTGGAGCTGGAAGAAGAGATAGAGAAGTTGCGCTGGAATATTATAGGATTATCCGAGGTCCGAAGAGAGGGGGAGGACACGGTGATTCTCGAGTATGGCAACTTGTTCTATCACCGGGAGGGCGACCATCTGTCCCAAGAAGGTGTCGGATTTATCGACCACAAGTCTCTCGTCAACAACGTTGTAAAGATAGGGAGTGTGTCGACGAGGGTCGCGTACCTGACACTCAGAATCACCAAACGGTATTCGCTGAAGGTCATACAGGTTTACGCACCAACCTCGGCACATCCCGATGAGGAGGTGGAGGAAATGTATGAGGATATTTCCAAAGCCATGCGCATTCCTCCAAAACCCACTACACGGTGTTGATGGGAGACTTCAACGCAAAACTAGGCACAAGAAAAAACGGTGAGCTGAAGTTAGGGAAATTTGGAGTAGGGCAACGGAACCGAAGGGGCCAGCAGCTGGCCGACTTTATGGAGAAAGAAGGACTCTTTATGATGAACTCTTTCTTCCAGAAGCGGCCCCACAGGAAGTGGACCTGGTCGAGCCCCAACGGTTCGACAAAAAATGAGATTGACTTCATTATGACGACCAGACGCCAACTGTTCAGTGATGTCTCAGTGATCGCAAGGGTGAAAACTGACAGCGATCACCGAATGGTTAGAGGCACACTGAACCTAAACGTTAAGTTGGAGAGGTCTCGTCTAATGAAGTCAGCGCTCCGTCCCCCTCGTGCTCTAATCCAGAATCCCGAAAACTTTCAGCTCGAGTTACGTAACCGCTTTCAGTGCCTACAAGATTGCAATGCAGTGGACGATATGAATGACAAGCTCGTGGAAACTGTCCATGCGGTCGGAGCTAAGTTCTGCAAGACCCGCCGCAGAAGAACACAAAAACTCTCCGATCACACTCTTAATCTCATGGATGTTAGACGGGAGATGAGGCTGCAATCGTCAACAGATTTGACAGCATACAGGCAACTGAACAGACGGATCTCCAAATGCTTGCGGCGAGACTTACGCAATTTTAATACTGCTCGTATTAGAGAAGCGATCGAGCGGAATCAGGGCTCCAAAGTCTTTGTCAGAGATCTGTCTGCCAGTAAGAGCCAACTGTCAAAGCTGAAGGCTGAGTGTGGCATCATCGTTTACGGGACACCTGAGATTTTGAGTGAGATTGAGAGGTTCTATGGGCAGCTGTACACATCATCGTTGGAGTCACACGCAAGTGTGAGTAACGATCCAAGAGCAAGTCTTATCCGACACTATTCCGATGATATCCCGGACGTCAGTCTAAGCGAGATTAGAATGGCTCTCCAGCACCTTAAAAACGGCAGGGCCCCAGGCGAGGATGGAATTACAGCGGAGCTTCTGAAAGCGGGTGGAACACCGGTACTTGAAGTCCTTCAGAAGCTCTTCAATTTCGTCCTCCATGGTGGCACTACTCCAGAGGCGTGGAGCAGAAGTGCGGTGGTCTTGTTCTTTAAGAAAGGCGACAACGCTCTCTTGAAGAACTACAGACCGATTTCCCTTCTGAGCCGCGTCTACGTGCTGTCTTCGAGAGTCATTACGAACTCCCGAACAAGCCGGTTTCCGAAAAGGCTTCAGTACCATAGACCAAATACATACCCTGCGGCAAATTATACCGAAGACTGAAGAGTACAATCTGCCACTTTGCCTGGCGTATGTGGACTACGAGAAAGCCTTTGATTCCGTCGAAATTTGGGCGGTGCTACAGTCCCTTCAGCGGTGCCAAGTTGACTGTCGGTATATCGAAGTGCTGAAGTGTTTATACAGTAGGGCTACGATGGCTATCCGAGTACAGAACCAGAGCTCGAAACCTATCCAACTGCAGAGAGGTGTAAGACAGGGTGACGTTATATCCCCGAAACTCTTCACCGCTGCATTGGAAGACGTTTTCAAGCTACTGGACTGGAAAGGATACGGTATTAACATCAATGTCGAGTACATCACTCACCTTTGATTTGCCGACGATATAGTCCTTATGGCAGAATCGCTGGAGGACTTAAGCACTATGCTCAATGACCTCAATAGTGCCTCCCAACGGATAGGTCTTAAGATGAACATGGACAAAACAAAGATCATGTTTAATGTCCATGTCACACCTATGCCGGTAGTTGTTGGGAGCACTATGCTCGAAGTTGTTGACGAGTACGTTTACCTGGGACAAATAGTCCGACTAGGTAAGTCCAACTTCGATCGAGAGGTCAATCGACGGATTCAACTCGGCTGGGCAGCGTTCGGGAAATTACGACATATCTTCTCGTCAGGTATACCTCAATCTCTAAAAACTAGATTGTACAACCAGTGCGTGGTGCCAGTGATGACTTACGGATCTGAGACGTGGTCCTTCACTGCTGGCCGTATGAGGACGCTCAAGGTCGCTTAGCGAGCTATGGAGAGGGCTATGCTCGGAGTTTCTCTGCGTGATACTCAGAAATGAGGATATCCGCAGTAAAACCAGAGTGACCGACATAGCCCAACGGATTAGTAAGCTGAAGTGGCAATGGGCCGGCCATATAGCTCGAAGAACCGATAACCGATGGGGAAGAAAGGTTCTCGAGTGGCAGCCTCATACCGGTAGGCGTAGTGTAGGGCGACCCCCCATGAGATGGAGTGACGACCTGGTAAGATATGCAGGAAGTCGATGGATGCAGGTGGCTCAGGACCGTGCTTTGTGGCATTACTTGGGGGAGGCCTATGTTCAGCAGTGGACTTGTGAAGGGCTGTAATGATGATGATGACTAAAAGGAAAAAGGCGATCGACTATTTTACGCTAGTATTCCGTGAGAGTTGTTTATTTAGAAGTGCCACAATGTGTTTGCAACTGTATTATGACTGCAGCACGAATGGGTCAGCGCGACCGCGATCGCACAGGAAACCAGCGTAAAATAAAGGCGTAGTGCTACTGTGCTTGTATGATGAGTAAAGAGACCCGGACATCTTTTAAACTGGCAACGAGGCATATCAAATAAGTCCTCAGATGACAACTTATCTCCGTTTGATTTTTATTCAATTAATACCTACATGTGGGTGAAAAACTTAGAATTATATCTTGCCTAGAATTATATCTTGCCTATAATACCGCGTGGCTAGTGGTTGTAACAATATTATAAATTTAATGATTTCTTAAATTTACTCGAATACTACACATTGAATAAAACTATTATCTACGGATTTTATCACGTTTAATTACAACTTTAATTTCTTTTTATTATCCCGACATTTCGGGTGCTTTACAGCACCCATGGTCAAAAATTAATATTCAAAAACTGAAGGTACCCGGACTAACTATGACATTGGGACGTCAAACATCTCAGCCCCCTCCCCCCCGAAAGCACCCGAAACGCCAGGATAATAAAAATAAATCAAAGTTGTAATTAAACGCGATAAAATTCGTAAATAATAGTTTTATTCAACATTATAAATTCCCTTAACTTTAAATGAAATGTAAGTAAAATGAATGCAGTGTTAATAAAGCGAGGTCAAAGTGTGTTTAATACAAGGGTGCTAGTTCAATGGCAGCAAGCTGGCGTGTTGCGTGTAAACTTGGCGTTTTGCCCAATTTTATATACGGCGACAGAATAATCGTCAGCATGACTAGCGCGAACATGACACGTCACGTTGAGAAATATTCATAACAAAAGTCGCAATGGACATTCAACCCTCCTGGCAAGCATTAATAAGAGTGTTCATAATATATAGAGCTTATAATAAGCATAAGTAGATATTTTTGCGATTAATATTCGTTCAAAGATTAAGTTTAAAAAAATAAAACATTGATCATGAGCTGTGATAATCCTAGTGAAAATTCCTCCAACAAAGTGACGAAATTAAAGTATTATCACCCATTAAAAGTCAACTGTCGAACATAGACCCTATATAGAAATATACCCATTAAAAGTCAACTGTCGAACATAGACCCTATATAGAACATATACCCATTAAAAGTCAACTGTCGAACATAGACCCTATATAGAACATATACCCATTAAAAGTCAACTGTCGAACATAGACCCCCATAGATTACCTCATAGCACGAATATTTGCCATAGTTGCCACGCTTGGCAGGTGGGTTCGCTACCTTGGCCCTTTTATTTTCCAGATGTTATTAGGATGGCATTGCTGCCCATCTTTTGATTTGTATCCCTCTGTCGCTTTTTACGACACACACGAGACGATACGAGGTAGTGGATATTCATATAATACTAGTGGCATTGTATGAATATCCACTATCACGGTTGGTATTTTCATTGGTTTTAAATTCAATTCATTAGTTGCAATTAATAATAACAGAGATGCAGTTCCAGCGAGCCGTGGTAAGTAAGGGGATCGTTCGCCTCGCGTACTGTGCGACCTAATTGCGACCAAGTACTGATTAACCACGGATATTTCAACACATTTCCGACACGCGTTCTTCAATAATTTAAAACAAGAGTATACAATCATTGCGTGTTGCCAGTAATGATATGTAGATCTACAACGTGGTACTTCACTGTTGGAAGTATGAGAAAGCTTTGGGCTGTTTAGCGAGCTATGGGGAGGGCTGTGCTCGGAGTTATGCAGATATATCCAAAGTAGAACCAGCCAACATAGCCTACGAATCAGTTAGCTGGCAATAGGCCGGCCATATAAATCGAAGAACTGACAACTGATGGGAAAGAAATTTTTTCGATTTTCTCGAGTTGCAGCCTCACACCGGACGACCTGATAAGACATGCAGGAAGTCGATGGATGCAGGTAGCTCGGAAACGTCTATTGTGGCATTCTTTGGGAAAGACCTATGTTCAGCAGGGGAATTGTAAAGTGCTGTAATGATGTTGATGATATACTAATTCTTCGTATTCAGTACAACATAATATAGCAAATTGTACTGAATACGTAACGCAATGCGTTAAGTACTTTGCATTTTCTTTGCAAAGAGTTACGACCAGCGTTAGCAGAGATACAATGATGAATGTATAAGTCGAAACCTTTACAAAATTACCTGAAGTCAGGCGGATATACAGAGATATCAGGCAGCAGAAGTATGTGATCGGAACTCAAGTTGCTCGGCTCAGGTTCTGTGTTGCTTCGTAGGGCCCAAACTAGACCTTCATTGTCGGTTGCTCGGGAAATGCCTCGTGACAGCTTGCGACCTATGAAAGGAAACAATCTAACATAACATACTGCTTGAGAAATATTTTTATGGCCTCATTATATTTTTCAGAAACATTTTTCAATCAAAATAATCTTATTTTAATATCATTCACTAATCACTAGTCCTTTGGTGTAGTTCAAACAAAGACTGTATAACCACTTGACTGCGCATACAATGCCCCGAGGCCCCCGACGCTCGAAACTATTAGTATTTTGTCGCCTATGCATCAGCTATGGTACTATTAACCATTTTAGTATTGTCCAACTGTTAGACCTGTGTGCACGCTAAATTAATGCAAATTTTTATAACTTTTATGCAATTATAATGCATCAAAATGCCTTCATGCGCGGTGAAATGGTGTGGGAAACATTTCAGGACAGATTTCCAAAAAGAATGGAGTAACTTTTCATTGCTAATGATTTCTTAAATTTACGCGAACACTACACATTGAATAAAACTATTATTTACGGATTTTATCGCGTTTAATTACTTTAATTTATTTTTATTATTATCCCGACGTTTCGGGTGCTTTACAGCGCCCATGGTCACGGGGGGGGACTGAGATGTTTGACGTCCCAATGTCATAGTTAGTCCGGCTACCTTCAGTTTTTTAATATTAATTTTTGGTCCGATTTACGCAAAACGAGCTTATAGTATCATGAAGTCTTGCAGTGGTATGCTTGGGTTTGGGTTTAATTTTGTTGATTATAGGATCCCAAGCAGATGGTAGCACCCAACCATCTTCTCTATTGAAATTTGGATGTTTTTTAATTTCAATAGCCTCGCGTATCATCCTTGGTAGGAATCGGTGTTCTTTTGCGAGAATTTGTGGTTTATCAAATCTAATGTAATGGTGGGGACGATCTTGAACATGTTCGCAGACTGCAGACTTCCCGAACATGTTCAAGATCGTCCCCACCATTACATTAGATTTGATAAACCACAAATTCTCGCAAAAGAACACCGATTCCTACCAAGGATGATACGCGAGGCTATTGAAATTAAAAAAACATCCAAATTTCAATAGAGAAGATGGTTGGGTGCTACCATCTGCTTGGGATCCTATAATCAACAAAATTAAACCCAAACCCAAGCATACCACTGCAAGACTTCATGATACTATAAGCTCGTTTTGCGTAAATCGGACCAAAAATTAATATTAAAAAACTGAAGGTAGCCGGACTAACTATTTTCATTGCTAAGTTTACTTATATATTTTTTGAAATATGGAAATTATTGTTGATTAATTCAGATTATAAGCCACCGCAGGGGTCTATCTAAAACGGTGGCTGGGTAAATAACGACATGGTTGAGTAGCGCGTTGATGTCTTTTGGAAAAGTCTCGTTCTATTATTAGACAATTCTAATGCTTCTATCCCTTTCTTTCCCTTTGTATGTTTATGGTAAACATTAGTACCTTATTGTTACCTTTAATAGCTGAAAGTCGATATCGAAAATAATAATATTAAAATTAATAAAAAGATTAATCAATTCACACATTGAAAAAATACTTATCTACTTTTAACCGTCTTCAGAAAAAAGAGGAGTTCTCAGTTTGTCGGTATTTTTTCCTAGTTAAAGTTTATTGTACCTAGTTAACTGTTAATATATTACTGCACACTCCTCGACATTTTATGATAAATCTTTTGCTGTTCTTGGAGTAAGACTCTGGAACTCCTTACCCCAGTCCATTAAAAGTGCTCAATCTTTAAATGTGTTCAAGAAACAAATTAAGGAACACTATTTGTCTCTTTAACTCCTCTCTCTTCCTCCTCTTAGTTATGATCACTAATATACCTTAAGTATGTTGTCATTTTATAGTATATAAGTTGTATTTTTTGTCTAATTTAGTGCACCCTACCTAATCTTATTTTTATTTTTATTAATTTCCTCTTCTGGGTTGTCTGAAAGAGATTGCTATGCAGCAATAAGACCGCCTTTTCTTTTTCCCTCATTGTTTGTTCATTATTTGTTATATTTATGTTTTGTTGGTGTACAATAAAGAGTATTGTATTGTGTTGTTAAATTAGATTGATGTACCAAATCAGAACGGCTTACAATTTCAAAAGGACACTAAAGACAAGTTATTGTACGGATCTACTACAATATAGATATTTGTCGTCGTTGTAAAATTTTTAACAAGAGGGCGATCAATGAGAGTGGTTCAAAAGTGCTGTCTTCAAAATATAATACCAATAATTTTATGAGAACGGTTTTAAAATCTCTGATTAGATATTTTACAATTTGAAATAGATATTCATTTTCATCAATTTGAAATAGATAATTTACAAATATGTAGACGCTTGTTTATATTTTTTTACGAAGAACAATCAGGACCCTTAAACTTTAATTCTAAATAAATATAACAAATTAATTCATTTCAAAAATCAATAATAATAAAATAAATACATATTTTCGTTGTAACTGCTTGATTTTGATTAAATATTATTTCTATGGTTTTAAGTACTTGTGTGTATTTTTCATAATGATAAAATCCATTTTATCGATAACGAATATTTTCCTTTATTAAGAAGAGCAACCCTAAAGATAGCTATAACAATGCAACTTGACCATTTGCAGCCACGCGTTCTTCCTCGTCCCCCGGCCCGCAGTAGTGAGTCGTGTGCTTAGAAGAAATCTGCCTATACGCTCTCTAGTGGTTATATTCTCTATGAGTTCAAAAACCAAACTTTGGTTAAAGTTTGGTTACAATGTAGTCGAAGCTTAAAAGCATTCGCCACCCCATTTCGTTCCGTGCAGTATCATAAGAAACTACTATGGAAAATTCCAGAAAATTATATGGCTTCATATATTCGGCAATGGTAGAAATTTGTAATGGTATATACCACGATAACACTAGGCACACGTAAAATTCCCAGACCGCCGACGGGCAGTACTTTTTTCATTTCTTCTGAATGATCATTTTGGTGGCAAGAGTAGGGAAGAACAAATTTTTTTGAAAAAGTATTTGAAATTATTACCACTATAAAAATTATACTTATTTCAGATATATACATAATATTTTCATTCACTTGTCTAAAGCTGAGGTAGAAAAGTCCTTGTCTGTCGATTCAAACGTACCAAAAGAAAATTATTACTGACGTGAAATTGACTTCTAATACCGGTAATTTAAATCAAGGTACCGGAACTTCATTTTAGTAAGAAATTAAAGTTATATGGTAACAAAATTATGCATTTTTATGGAAGAGAGGGTAAACGAACAGCTGCAACACCAGAGGTTCCATTTCTTAGAGTTCTCTTCATATCAGAATAAAGGAAGATTTCTAAATTCAGAAATCTAATTTAATTCGTTTTATTGTATATTACGTGGTAATTCATTTATGTAAATTGATTGATACTTTTCAGAACGAAAAATGTATAATTTGATCACTCGCAACAGTGTATACTAATAATCCTGTTTAAAACTTACACTCGGGTGCCGGTGTAAGAACTAAGTTGGAGGGAGCCGGGTAAGACATTGCAAGGTCTAGGGTGCTGACGGAGCGTTCGGGTATGACGTCACCGCCCGCCCTCGGTCGCAGCACCCGATCTGGAAATATAAAGAACATTTTACCAAAAATATCCACGTGATGTTTTTAATTTACAATTTGTTTCGATTTCGATATTTCTTTAATTACGTTATATCCCTGCGTGGTGTGATATTTTTAATCTTGTCTCATGAATGAAACTAAATTTTACGGATTTTTACGATATAATCCGTAAAATTTAGTTTTATTCAATGTGTAGTGTTCGCGTAAATTTAAGAAATTATCTTGTCTCTTGAGTTTTCTGTTTTATCTACATTATTTCTTAAATGATGTTTAAAAAATATCTTATATTATAAAAAATCGTGCAGTTTGGGCAATGAGTTTATCTTATCTACTCACACTTGTAATAGCATTCAACCATCCACTACAGCCTATGAAGAAGTCCACAGCTGGACACAGGCCTCACTCATAGAGTCTAGCCTCCCCCCACGCGTGGTAAGCGGATTGGTAACCGCAGCTTTTTTATTATTTTCAGTTGTTATCAGGAAGATGCTTTTGCCCATCTCCTGTTTAGCCTTTGTTGTCTCTTACGACAACCTCGAGACAATAAGGGTGGGGTGGGGGTGGGGGGTAGCGGATATTCTTACACCGCCGCTACACAGTTACATTATACGATTGTAAGAACATGAGCAATGAAAAATAGGTTTATTTCGTGTAGGTAAATATTGTTTAAGTTACACTAAAAGAAAAATATACACAGTTTACTCTCTAACTTTACCAAACAGAACAGAGACTAACGAATAACGAACTAAGACTGGGGCGAATTTCGTTTTTGGTTTATTTTGCACGTATAATAGAAATGATTTGACACTCCCTAAACAAGTCCTGATAGCCCTTCGACTTAATATAAATAAGATATCTGTCAGGTATTACTAACGTGACCAGACGTCCCGTTTTGAACGGGACTGTCCCTTTTTATAGTTACGAGTCCCGGTGTCCCCGAAATGAACTCTGGGACGCAAAATTGTCCCGTTTTCTGAAACCGCGCGAAAATTTGTGATGTTGTTACTAAAAAACTTTTTTGAAGATCCCACATCCGAAATATGGTTTTATTTTTTACACGCTCAGTCAGCAAGTTTTCATCAAGCTGTATTGAAACTTGAAGTTCAGACTGTATCGGCTACTGAAGCTGCAAAATAAATCAATCAACTAAAAGACAGACACTTTGACTCAGAAACAGACCAATCAGTTTCTTCCATTTACGGTCCGTCAATTAAAAGTGAAATCGAAAGATAATGCTACTGACATAGATGAAAAATTGGTGAAAAGGGCGGCTACAAAATTTTATGAAACAAGCCATGAATATCTGGAACGGTGGCATTTCTTTCTTACCAAAGAAATGGGCGATATTGATAATTTAGTTGAATATAAAAAATATGCCAAGAGTTTCATTCTTACTTAATATCACCACCAGCTATATTAAAGCAAATTTGTTCCTTTATTTGTTTATTTGTTAATTTAGTTTCAACTGAACTTGATGTTTCTGTATTGTGGTGTACAAAAAAAGTATATATATATATATTTGTGTAATTTTAAGCTAACTGAATTTTTCTGAATAAATAACTTTAAAAAGTGTTTTTTTATTGACTATCTGTTAATTGACCTCAATAAACCAATGTCCCGTTTTGAGTCAAAAAATAAATGGTCACGTTAGGTATTACACGCGAAGAAACGTTCGGCTATACGCGTTAAAAATAGTTTAGTGGTTCAACCGACGATAATAAGTATAATTAAAATTCGGATCAGTAATTAATTGCGTATATTGTCAAGTTTGTACAGAACTAAGAGGTACTCACTGTTACGTAAGTCAGTATTAATAATGGCGTGTGCATATAAGTATCAACTTACTATAAAGTATTGGAGTGATGTGCTACACCGCCCACTCAATGTTCATGCAAACGAAATTGCGTCTTCAGTACAAGTAAATTAAGAACTATAATCAATATGTCACACTTCAATCTAATTGGTCTTTGTAAAATATCATTAAAACTGCAGTTATCTGCAACTCTGCTGCTGCTATTAGTATTTCACAACACCACGCTAATAGGATTGCTCATTACAGATACCATAGAATAGGAAATTAGGTCAGTTTTTAGCCTATTTTCAGAAATAAATTATCAGAAGCGGTTTTTTAATGTTTCTGCTCCATTTCTGTGTTTGTATTCAATATTTAATTTTCTATGACAGTATTATTTTACCACATGATGCAATAGATTAAACTGGTTACACGTGGTGGGACACGCTGCAATGTAATATAGCTGCAGCATGCATAAGTCGGCACGGAAGGATTACACTCACACATAATAACAGAGTAAAATAGCAACATGATGCCGCTGTGTTTCATATGGAGAGTGTCTTAGTCCTCAGGGGTGAAAAGGCATCTAAATTTTGTTTCTGATTCGAGAACAGATGTAGGTGTCAATATAGGATCTTTAAAAAATATGACCAGCATATATGTAATAGTAAGTGACTTTAACCAGTAAACCAGTATACTTAATATTTTTTTAAGAAATTCATATTAATTTTAAACTCAAAAAACAAAGATCCTAAACAGTTCATAAGCAGTTTGTCTAGCTGCTTAGGAGCAGTACTTATCTCGGTATTTGAAGGCTGCGAGAACTAATAAATTATCATGCTGTGAGGTATTTAATCTAACAACTTAGTTTACTGCGCTTTACTGTATGCTGGGCACATCTTTCTTTTCTAAAATAATATTATTAGTACCTACTGTATTTACCCGCTTAAAATGCTTGTGTAGATTGTTAATGACAGCAGTTTAATGGCGGATTCGAACTCCTCCTGGACTTCCCGAGCTTGTAATATAAATTATTGTGCAATAATTCATTTATGACTTGATTTCTTAATAAATGAAAGTAAAAAGTAAAAACTTCATGATTTGCATTCAGACCTCAGTTGTTGCCATTCACTTACAAGTTTTCCTTTAAGACATCTTAGTATCGTTTAGGAGATTAAACAGATGCAAACATGATTTTGGTACAGTATTTATAGAGCGTCACATCATGTGTGTAAAAAAAGACGGCCATCTTTTGCGTGAGCGTAAGTAGGATAGTTTATAATTAGGCTTCAGAGTGTATTCACTCATGACGTCTTTTTACATATTCCGGTCAAAGCAAATCTATCTCTTAAGGCGTTGTCCTAATTGGCTATCGATCGTACCAGTAAACGATGCGAGTTAATCGCATGATAAAATTAATCTCCTAGACGGATTCCTTAGCATCCTAGCCTTCCTAATCAAGCAATGTGCCGAAATTACTTGATGGTACAGCGTGAAACCAGTGACTAGATTCCTTAGTTGAAACACCTAGAGGGCGAGCCTGATTTCACTCTGGAAATAGTGAAAAAAATCTTTCTGCACACTCCGTACCAACGGAATATCCCACTGGCTTGTTGGTTAGCTTCCAGTGGGACATTTTCGCCGGGACAGAGTGTTAACCATGTTTGGCTTGCCCCCGCAGCAAAGCAAAGATCTACTTTATTATTTAAAATCATGTTACATAAGTCGTTGACACTATGCACGGAAGCAAGGAAAGCAGCCAATGCAACACTAGAAAGATTTCTTACACCAATACAACCAAACTTTAACAGGATGATCCTACATGTGTACTAACAGCTCGTACGACTCGACGTCGAATGCGCGATGCCGCCGCATCTTCACCACAACGGCATTATTTCAGCAATGGCTGTTTACAGAGATGCACAGTTTCAATGTCAGATAATATTGTTTTAAAAACTGCAAATGACATTGAAAAAAGAAGTCGTAGGCCACATTTAGTTAGTTAGTTATAGCCTATATACGTCCCACTGCTGGGCTCAGGCCTCCCCTCATTTCTGAGAGGGTTTAGGGCAAGGAAGTGTCCGCCGCGCTGCCCAAATGCGTGTTGACGAACTTCACATGTCTTCGAAATATTTTTTTTTATGCAAAGTTTCAATTTCAGATAATATTGTTTTAAAAACTGCAAATGACATTGAAAAAAGAAGTCGTAGGCCACATAATATACTTTTATTGAGATCTCTACTCGTCTCTCTCGACTCGCGTTGCTGCACTCGCGTGATGACGCATGACCAAGTAGATCACTCAAAAGAGATTTGTGGCTATCATTGCTCGATCGTACGATCCAACCCATCCTACGATCGTTATTAAGCATTTAATATGCTCGCGCGATGACTTGCAAAGCTTAAATTAGGACACTAAAGAAATGTGAGTGTTTAATTTCGTCGTGCGACGAAATCGCATCGTTTGCTGTTACGATCGTTGCCAATTAGGACGACGCCAGGCGTAGCCTAAAGCATAATTATAGGCTATAAGGTATCGTACGATCCAACACATCCTACGATCGTTATTAAGCATTTAATATGCTCGCGCGATGACTTGCAAAGCTTAAATTAGGACACTAAAGAAATGTGAGTGTTTAATTTCGTCGTGCGACGAAATCGCATCGTTTGCTGTTACGATCGTTACCAATAGGACGACGCCAGGCGTACTCTAAAGCATATAGGCTATAAGGTACATAGTAGCATTACTTAATCCTCTCCTCTCTTCTCTTAATCCCGAATGATGATAAGTGAATTAAATTAACATTAGACACTCAGTCTCACTGATTGTCAATCACCGTCAGTAATGCGCAATATTTCGCACACAAAATACGATTGAGGATTTCATTTAAAAAAAAAAACATGCGCAATTTTATACCCAAGGAGGTCTCTGTGGCTTGAAACACAGTATTATCTAATATGTATGGCGTGGTGACTGATAGATGATTGAAATATAATAAAAACCGGCCAAGTGCGGTTCCGTACCAACGTAAAAGGCGTTTCTAGTAGGGAAGCTAGCTTTCTAGTAGGGAGCCGCTGATAGACTGACGGACGCACGGACAGCAGAGGCTTCGTAATAGGGTCCCGATGATTACCCTTTGGGTACGGAACCCTAAAAACTACAACAATTCATTAGATGCACTCTAAAGGTCTTAAAGTAATAAGCACACAGAGTGAAAGTAATTTTGTTAGAAATATATTATTTTTAAATGGGAAAAGTATCCTTAAATGTATTAAGATCAATTAATTCAGATTTAACATTATGTTAAGAAGCGTAGTTAAAATGCCACTAAGTTGCCTATTTATTTTGTTATAATTATATATTAATGACAAAACTTACCATCACTGTGCTCATCAGCAATTGAATTAGCTTCCATCACCATACCGATCACCTATTCTATAACAATAAAAAAAATATTACTAAACATATATTATAAGCGATAGTAGATTAACGGTAGGGTTAGGACTGCAAACTCGGGAAGTCGAGGGTTCGAATCCGTCATTCGACTACTGAGGTGAACCACTCCTAGCACAAGCATATATTTAGCTTTTAGGGTGGTTAACGACAGTATTAGTACCTTACCTTATTAGACCTGGTAAGACATATAGGAAGTCGACATTTTTGGGGGAAGTGTATATTCAGCAGTGGACTTGGGAAGGGCTCAATGATGATTAAATTCCTAAATTCTAGTCATCATCATTATGAATAGAATTTAGGATTTAAAATTTAATATTCTCTATTCGATATTTAAGGGCTCTTCAAGTTGAAATCTTTTTTCTTTGTTTCAACTACAATTTTATTCTGCGGTTATGTGATTATGTAAACTTTTTATTTTACAATATATTTTGTTCCAAGCTTCATACTAAGTATTTAAATGCCTCGTCTAGTTTGCTTCATAATAAATATTAACTCTTTTATTACTACATAAATATATAGTAATAAAAGAGTTGAGCGTCTAAAACGTAAAACTAATACAGAATAGGTACTACATACACAGCATTAATAATTGAAGTATGCTACACTCCCTTAAGTTTAGAAACAATATATAATGAAAATTCCTTCAAAAAGGCACCATATTGTTTCCATTTAATTGAAGAAAAATATCCCTAGGAAACCCACATGAGAGAGTCCGCCAACTCGCATTGGGGCAGCGCGCGGACACTTTCATTATGAATAATAACATATATTGTTTGCTTTTATGCTTTATGCCTGAAAATATAATATGTCCTTAGCGTTACTGGTATTAAAAAAAGTAAGTAATTTTTTTTTCAGTCAGAGTATAGTCAAAGGTGCTCAAAACTGGTACTGCGGTTATAACTTCACTCCACCTGCCAATTGCGACTAAAGTAAAGCGCACTAACTTATATTAACAAAATCTTATTAAATCTTGCCTTAGATCGGCCACATACACATACGAAATTCCATTTCGGAATTCTGATTCAGATTCCGAACGCAGCAAATCCATATAAAATCAATGACTCGTCACACTCCTACGGTAGTTTTCCTTTTGAAATTTTGCGGGCAAACGGGATTCCGCTTGTGTGTGGCCGACCTGTTGAATTCCGTATGTATGTAGCGGGCCTTAAATACACCCTTCATAAGGCCGGCCACATTCGGAATTCCGTATGTACTATGTGGCGCGCCAAAACATGTTGAAAAACTTCTTAACTCGTTTGCTTAGATATTTGTTGTCTTCTAAACAAAATATTTGAAATTTTGAACTTGTAGTACGCAATACGCATTACGAATAAAGTTTAGTTCGTATGCGTGGAATGTTGACAACAAAGGGGTCAGCCGAACGTCTGGTTGTTCGATGGTGGAGATGAGAAGAAATAAAATCACATCACAATATTTTTATACGTGGTAGAGCCATGCTGCAGTTTTATTAGTAGTATAGTTGTAGCACGAATGGGTCGGCTCGACCGGGTAAGGACCACGCTCTCACAGAATACCAGCGTGAAATAGTAGCTTAATGCTGCTGTATTTCGTATGGTGAGTGTAGAGAACCGGAGACCCTTTTTACTGGAAACGAGGCATTCCATCTTAGTCCTCACGGGTGACAACGCATCTGCATTTTGATTTGTAATCGAGGATAGATGTAGATGCCTATGGGCCACAGCAACCACTTACCATCAGGTGGACTGTGTCCTCGTTTGTCACGCTATCCTATAAAAAAAAAAAAAAAACATAATTCCTGACCTTGTCGTAAAGTATCCTACAGAACATCGAGAGGCTGGTTACTTTGAGTCTATGCTCGAGACTAACAAAGTTAATTTTAACCAAATCGAGTATTATATAATACATCCATGCCATCTCACAGCTTCAGATAACATTCCAAATTAGTCAGCGTGTTCAATAGCAGCAAGGAGAACATCAATAGCTGCTTATTTTTGCAATGATTGTACAGAACAGAGTAATTTGTGCATAAAAGTAAAGTAAAGTTACAGCATATATAAGTCCCACAGCTGGGCACAGGCCTCCCCTCATTTCTGAGAGGGTTTTACGGCAAGGAAGTGTCCGCCGCGCTGCCCCAATGCGTGTTGGCGCACTTCACATGTCTTTGAAATATATTTTTTTCTTATTACTCAGACATGCAGGTTTCCTCACGATGTTTTCCTTCACCGTGCCAAACACGTGGTAAATCAGCACTTAAAATTGCAATTAACAATTTCAATGGTGCCGGCGGGGATCGAAACCGGGTTACTGGCGTTCTGTTAAATTTAGAGCGAGCGTTAACCATCTGAGCTACCACGGCTCTTTTTTATTTTTTATTTGTGCGTACAAGTACGTAATGTTTCTCTGGACTCCATGTTTACAGAGAAGAGTGCCAATACATAAAATGGAAAATGGAAGCAAGAAATAAACAAGCAAGAACGATGACACAATGTCACCTACGCAAGCTTCGAAATAGAACTGTGCATTTTATAACAACCAGCTGATTCAGCCCTCAGTTGTTTGAATATTGTTGCTTTCACGAAAGAAATTATGTATTAAGGTTCAAGAAAACGCAGGTCTATGTATACTGGTGTTTATTATTTCATCGTTAATACATGTGTCCCTGACTTGACCAAAATATTGATAGTTATTTGCTATGATCTATACGAAACACTCCAAAAGGTTTGTTAATTTGTAGAATGTTTTTTTTTTTTTGAGTAGACTAGTTCACACAAAAGGCTGCCGATTGTGGAGATGGATTGCATGGCCATATTTATAATTTAGAAATAAGACTAACTTGTTTGTGCCATCTTCAAACTTGTTTCTTAACTGTATACTAGTGGTCGAAAGTTGACCGTATATTTTTAGTTTTGTATACTAAGCAAACTATATTTCACTTTCATCATCATCATCATCATTACAGCCCTTCACAAGTCCACTGCTGAACATAGGCCTCCCCCAAGTAATGCCACAAAGCACGGTCCTGAGCCACCTGCATCCATCGACTTCCTGCATATCTTACCAGGTCGTCACTCCATCTAGTGGGGGGTCGCCCTACACTACGCCTACCGGTACGAGGCTGCCACTCGAGAACCTTTCTTCCCCATCGGTTATCGGTTCTTCGAGCTATATGGCCGGCCCATTGCCACTTCAGCTTACTAATCCGTTGGGCTATATCGGTCACTCTGGTTTTACTGCGGATATCCTCATTTCTGAGTCTATCACGCAGAGAAACTCCGAGCATAGCCCTCTCCATAGCTCGCTGAGCGACCTTGAGCGTCCTCATACGGCCAGCAGTGAAGGACCACGTCTCAGATCCGTAAGTCATCACTGACAACACGCACTGGTTGTACACTTTAGTTTTCAGAGATTGAGGTATACCTGACGAGAAGATGTGTCGTAATTTCCCGAACGCTGCCCAGCCGAGTTGAACTCTACTTTCACTTTCAACTGCACCTTAATATGTATATATACTTTAATAAAAAACAAAGATATCTGATACTTATACAACTAACGCTTTGCATTTTTGGCTTGACATAGGTACACTCCACAGACTAAAAATTAATTAATATTGTGGTTTATCAAATCTGATGTAATGGTGGGGACGAACTTGAACATGATCACAGACTGCAGACTTCTCGGACTGCGAAGCACCGACGCTCCGGGAAGTCTGCAGTCTGTGATCATGTTGAAGTTCGTCCCCACCATTACATCAGATTTGATAAATCACAAATACTCGCAAAAGAACACCGATTATTGGTAGGAACCAAGGATGATACGTGAGGCTATTGAAATTAAAAAAACATCCTAATTTCAATAGAGAAGATGGTTGGGTCCTGCCATCTGCTTGGGATCCTATAAAGATCAAAATTAAACCCAAACCCAAGCATACCACTGCAAGACTTCAAGATACTGTAAGTTCGTTTTACGTAAATCGGACCAAAAATTAATATTCAAAAACTGAAGGTAGCCGGGCTAAGAATGACATTGGGACGTCAAACATCTCAGTCCCCCCCCCCATGACCATAGGTGCTGTAAAGCACCCGAAACGTCGGGAATTAAAAATAAGTAAAATCAGTTAAATAAACGCGATAGAATCCGTAAATTTAGTTTTATTCAATTTAAAGAACTTGTTTATAAAACATAACAGATAGGTTTAGGGACAATTTTCCGCGGCGTGCCACGTACGAGAAACAGGTGGGAGATAGTAAACGGTATGAAAATTTTATAAGAAGCAATACCTACATGTGTCACCATACTGCATCCTCATCCCGGACTAGGCTTGGCGCCTACAAATCTAGCTATTGATTCGACCCCCTGTTGGCTGCTTTAAGTAACATGCTTCCATGCCGCGTCGGAGAAGTTAACAAGGCAAGTTTTTGGGTAACAGTCTCTCCATATATTTTTTAATATATTAAGGATGACACACGCAGTCCACCTGATGGTAAACGGATGCTATAGTCCTAAACATCTAAATCTACCCTCGGTTAAGTATTAAAATGCGTATGTGCGTCACCCTTAGGGATTAAGAAGAAATGTGACATTTTCAGTAAAAAGAAACTGTGGTTCTCTACAGTCACCATACAAAACACAGCAGTATTAAGTTATTTTACGCTGTTATTCTGTGAGAGCGTGATTCTTCCCCAGTCGAGCCGACCCATTCGTGCCACAACCATAATATAGCTGCAGCATGGCTCTACCACGTATAAAAATAATTATAATGAACATTATTATGAAGTACTTAAGATAAGAAACACCCCATGTTTTGTTTACCACTGAATGTATATTGAATATGAAAACTATATGAAAACTAGTGAATAAAGTTATGTTAGCGCTTACAGGGTTTGAATTCGGCTCGCGCACGTCACGGTCTAGCATAAATTATCCTTTATACGCTGTGTTTGATAAAATGAGATCAACATACTGACATCGAGTACAACGCGTGGG